GTCACTGAAGAGTGGTTCCCAGAAGTGATCTGACTCAGGCACTGTGCTGAGTCACAAATCCTCCCCTGCTTCCTCCCTGCTTGCAGAAAGTAGTAGTTTTCTTCTGAACTATATTAGCAGAAAAATAATTACCTCCCACACCCCTGGCACTGGCTTAAGTATGAAAATGTGTCTTTGTGTGTGTATCAGGAGGCAGAGGAGGGATGGATGGGCTTGAAAGTCCTCTCTTTTCCCTTTTATTCCCGCTCATTTTCAAGGGGTCATTTGTATGAGACTGTCCTTGCTCACACTTCTGATTCAGGCATCCTCACAGGGTAGTCAAAATATAGCCCTGCAAAACCCATGGAAAAGTAGACACTTTCTCTAGAGACCTGGACTACTAAGATGATGAGAACGGGAAACTGCCCTGTCCAACATACCAAATCAGATCCAAAATTAAAGACACATAAAAATGTGAGTTAGAGCTGTGCTTGGAAAGGCCCAAATGTGAGTGCTGAGACAAGCCTACCATTAGTTTCTTTGGATATGTTCCACAATGCAACAATGCCAAGTGCATTTTAGCAGCTGGGTCTGGTGCACTTTATTTTTTTTCTCTTGTGCCATCTTGCTGAGCGTTGGTTGAAATCCAAAAAAGCTTGTAAGTACACAACGGGGTGTGCAGGTAATCCCATTGCTTTAGGTGCAGACACACACCTAGAGATAAAGCACATTCTTCAATAACTGCCTGAATCGATGAGACATCAACCAGCCCCTCTCATCACTGTCTTCCTGAGAGAAAAGTACAGCATCATATAATAGCTCCAAAACACCTGCAGCATCCCCAACAGTGTATTTCCCATAGCTCTGAGAGAGATCAGTGTTACTTGGTATAAGCTTTTTTTCTTCTTTCTTCCTTAGTCTCCCTGCGTCCCAGTTGTATCCTAAACCTTTGGGTTGAGGTAGTCCTCTAGAGGCTAAAAAGGGCTTGACCTGGTATAAAAAGCAATGTTTTTCCCATGTAATAAATATTTAAAATGTTTTATCCGTGTAAATAAATGCTAAATTCTGTAAGCCCAGGGAAGGGCATTAGCGTGTTTTGCTTGCTGAAACATTTATGGAATCAGTGTCAGCCAACAGAATTCAGCCAAGAGGGTTTTTTTAAAGGTAAACTGAAGTGCTTTTAAAATAAATACTACAAGTTGTTTAAGATCTTCAATTATTAACAAAAGAAAAGTGTGGGCTTAAAAACTGCAAACAATCCCTCTCGTAGCACTTTCCCTAATCCTTGTGCAGTTATCTCTGTGTCCAGCCTGGAGTGAGCTCCTCAAGGCAGATGCTGGACCTTCACAGATGTCTGGAAAGTGTCTAGCACACAGAGAGAGCTTCCACAGATGAGTAACTACATTTAGAATCCCAAATATTTGAAAACCAAATATTTTTATGTTTACTTGTCAGGACTAAATGTCAAGACCCCATGTTGATGGTCGGCCAGGGATGGCATTGCCAGCCCCTGTAAAGCAACACTGTAAAAATTTGGCTCTGCTGTGAGAAGGCAGCTGGTGGCATCACCTCCTTGAAATCCAGAGGCCAGCTTTGCAGTCTGATCAGGTCACCTCTGATTTAATTATGATTATAAACCTCACCTCCACAAGTGAGAAAAAAATGCCAAAGATGTGCAATGGTGTGAACACCTGTGTTTGGTGATTCCTACGTGTTGCACTGTGCAAAGATTAAGGGCATGCATGAGTTGGGTCAGAGAAATCATTCCTTTATAAGCTGAACTGTCTTTTCTTTCTCTGCACAGGGAAAGAGCCCGTAAAAGTGTGCAGAATTCTCAACATTTTTTAGAAAAGAATTTTAAAACTGCTTGTAAGGGGATGATTTGCTTCCATTTACTCTGATCAGAAATGCATCTGATCATCCTCAGACACTGATCTGCACCTCTCAGGTTTCAGGACATAGATTTGATATGTTTTGAGGCATGTGAATTTTTTTAATGAAAAAGTTTCTCTGTTCCACCTACCCATGGCTCTTCCCCAGTCCCTAAATCCTTTTCTGACTGGGCATTCTGACTTCTCTGGGCAGGGTTCCTCATACCATTCCTTGCAACAACTATTCACGGTGCAAGTGGCTGCCTAAGTGAGAAAAAAGCAATTTTACAGGGAGTAGCTGTATTGCAGCAATAGGCTTGACAACAATGCAGGAAACCTGGTGATGTGCATGTATCTCTTGCCCCTCCACAAGTAGCATCCATTACATCTGCTGAGGACATTTCTCAAGTTGCTGCATAGTTAGTATTTTTTATTTTTTTAACTTTTCTCTCTGAATACTTTATTGGTAATGTATTTAAGCTTGCTAATTATTGGAATCATCAAGATTTAAAAACAGGCTGGCTGCCCTAATGGGGCACTGCACAGCACACACATCAATTCATGCTAACAGTATTCAGAACCCCATCTCCTCTTCAAAGCTGGTTTATTATCCTCAAGAAGATTTTCTCTAATTAAGCTGGCTGAAGGTCCTGTATATCTTCTGGTGATACATGTTCCCCTTGACTGCCTAAACAACTTGTCACCTCGTGTTTATGGTGCAAGCCTTTGATTTCACAAGTGCTGCTTTGTTAACACAAAGGGCATTGATTTGTGCAGATATTATCTTCTCTGGACATCTGTAGTAGCTGAAGCACTTTTATGAAGTGAGTGATAATGAAGCTGTATTTAAAATGAGAGAGCTTTTTTGTTCCTCTTTTTGTCTGCTCTCGGTACCCTCTCAAAAGTACTGGGTATGTCCTATGATGCATAATAAATCAATTAATAATAATAATAATTAAGGGTAAATTATGTAAGACCTGCTATTAGAACTTGTAACCTGGTAATCTTGCTTACATATTGGATTAACAATGCTTCACTAAAATCACTAAAAAGGGAGGCCTTTATTGGCTTTTGTGTAGATTTATTTGAAACTACAAATATTTCAACCTGCAAAGTTTTGGTGTGGGGTTTTTTTTTGGGTTTGTAGCCATCTGTACTCTTTTAACTTTCTTGTATTGTTGACATTTTTTGGAAGTAGATGGAACATTGTTTTAATTTGCTGGTGAAGGTGACATTCCTGACTGATGTAAAGAATTGGAGTGATGTTGATGCCGACTGCAATTCATTTTCTGTATGTATTCAGAATTAGTAGACTGAACGATGGGAACATCTAGAGGAAAAGCTTGGCAGCCTCACATAAGCACAACAATTTCTTTTTTCTCCAGAGGCATTGGTTACCCAGAACAGTACCCAGAGGCAACTGAGCAAGCAGAGTAGCCCACTCTTGTACAGGATGTTTTGATCCTGTCAGTAATGTACTTCACGTAAGGATTTCTTTGTGAAAGCTGGAATGTTTCATGCTGAACATCTCTCCCTTTAGATAGTTGCATGAACCATTAACATATATCTGAACCAGCTGTAGAAACCTGAAAACATGTTCTGACTAGAGGGATGTTAGCACCCAGCTTTGGTTTTCCAGCAGGCAGTGAGTTGATCTTGCTGGCTGGGCAGCTGAAGCCACCTTTGATTATTTCTGCAATGTTCCTTCAAGGCTGTGGAGCAAACACAGTCTCAGCCATAGATGTGAATTGACAAGTGGATTGCCTACAAGTGAAAGTGCTTGTCAAGAGATGTGTCATCCTTATAAGAAAGTATTTAAATTAGTTGGGTTTTTTTTAATAAGTAAAAAAAAAAAAAAAGAATTGAAAATCTCAGATGATAGATTTTCAAAGTTAATAGTTATCACAAACTCTCTTGGCAGATGTATAACAGACATTTAGGGCTCATGAATCACATTTTTCAAAAATCACAGCTAATATCAACTTCTCTGAGGAGATGACAGCATTTGCAGGAGACATTAATGACTTCTGGCTCTCAGTCATTGCAAAATCATGAGTTTGTAATTGTTCTGGTGTGGCTATTTGTAGACTATAGGGTTCTAGAGGTCTCTCAGTACTTCCAGCATCAATAACTTGCCAGTGACAGCAGTTGCCATCATTGCTACCAGTGATAACAACTTTAAGACATTTGTAAATACAAATCCTTACTAAAGGCTTATGAGACTGGTTTTATTATTCTGGTTTTACAAAAATGAGGAGAAGGAGACAGAGAGAACCCATGAATTTGCAGCTTGAGTCAAGTGCATCTGAGGGTACAACTGCTTAGTGGTTTAGAAAACTTGGCAACAAGTCACCTTCCCATTCTGGAAATGTTTGGCTTCCTCCCAATAAGGACTTTCAACAGTTTCATGCCTTAACAACAGTCATATAATAATATTTTATTCATACCCCTTTCTGGACAACCTCTGTTATAAAGTGATCCCTAAATCTTGGAGCAAACCCAACACTGCTGGTTCTGACTCTCCCTCTCTTGAGATCGAAGTAAGGTGAGGGGGACATGGAGCAGGGGGAGATCATAAGAAGTCTGGGAGCTCTCACTAAGTGTGGATTTGGTGGTCCTTCAGCATCTCAGGCTCTGCCTGGCACTTTCTTGACCTCTGCAAGAACCCAGAATAAAAGTAGGGATGTGACTTCAGTTTGCCATCTCTCCCAATGCTCTGGAGTGCAATTCTGTGGCACCCCAGCATTTGCTGTGTCTCATGGCTCTTGCCCCACTTCAGTTCTGGTTCTTTTTTTTTTTTTTTCCCATGCTTTAACTCTCTCCAATACTGTGTGTGGAACACCTTAAGCATGTTTTTCACGAATAGGCAAAACAGCTAATATATTCCCTCCCCAGGGAGGTGGTATTTTGGTGACAGGTAAGTTAATATCTGTTTTACTTTAGTCTGTGATCTAGGCTAAAATGATAAATTTGTGAAATGTTGGGGAACTTCTGGAGGGAGGTGGTCTGTGAATGTACATCTTTATGTCATCAAGATAATGAGTTCAGATGAGGGGGAATGAAATAAAACTGGCATACTACTGTGCAATTTATAGCCTCTCTAAATTTTGTTCTCTTGCTGATAAGTGCTTCCTTCTGTTCTCTCTCCAGGTCTCCAGGTGGTTTTAAATTCCATTATCAAGGCCATGGTCCCTTTGTTGCATATTGCCCTGCTAGTGCTGTTTGTCATTATTATCTATGCCATCATTGGACTGGAGTTATTCATGGGAAAGATGCATAAGACCTGCTACCACGTGCAAGGGGGACTAATAGGTAAGAGGAACACACACACACATACAAAGATTTTCGGAGGGAGGTTTTTCCCATAAGTCATGAAGCATTTGTACTGGCACAGGAGATGGGTGGCAATTGCTCACTGCCTGTGTACCTGTCTGGGGTTTCACAGGGGTGGCTCCTCTGTTCTGCTTCTCAGATGTGAATGACCTGAGGTGCAGAGAGACTGCAATGGTGGCAGTTTAGCTTGCTCATCTTGAACACTCAGCTGTTGGCCTGTCTGTAAAGGCTCCATGCGCAGCTGTTGATTCCTGCTAAACAGAGTCATGGACTTTTTAATGTGGACCTTTAGCACAACAAGCCCACCTGAGTCCTTTAACAAATCTCCCAGAGGTTCAAGCATCGCTAAAATAATGATAATTTCATCTTTAGCAGACAGAGCTATACATGACATGGCATCACAGAAATTAACAACTCATGTATTTTATTATAAATCTCATCAACAAATGCATCTTTGTTTTAAACCAGTATCACTGTAAAGGAATGTATGATTCAGCGCTGTACTCTTTTTTTTTAATCTCAGACTGTGGCTGTGGTTAGAAATGCAACTAGAAAGAAAGCAAAATTATACTAATGGGAAGAAACTTTTTGCATCAAATCCGTCAGGAAAGAACTTTCAAATTATTTACAGAAAGAAATATTCCCATTTCAAAGTAATTCAACTGCACTGTCACTCACTCATCTAACCATCTGCTCTTTTTCATTTGATTTATTGAACTTGAACAGCATTGATTTCTCATGTGGTGGTGGGTGCTAATGCCTAGGACACAGAGCAGCTCATAGCTAAGAAAATATGTTAGAGCAGGAAATTGTTTCAGAAGTTTTTCAGAAGTATTTTCTGCTTTTATAATGTTGGCGGATCTCATTTTCTGGAAATGATACTAGAACTATAATGAATTGTCACTCTGGTTTACATCTTTAAATTGTGTGTATCTTTCTCCATTTTGTCTGGAAATATTTACATTAAGGTATCTAATTCTAAAATTACTGTTTCTGGCATGCTTTAATGATCAGAATATGACCATAACTTTTCAAAAATGAATTGTTTACCATATAAGATGTGAAACAAACAGAATTACCTACTACCCTACACATTCATGCCTGCATCTGTAAAAAATGTAACCCTAAGATCTGAAATCCATATATTTTTAAAAGAACATTGCAGAAGGTTTTGTGCTTATAGAAATGTTTTCTGTGGCATTTTACGCACACCAAAGCATTTAGTTTGACTTGTTGTATGGGTTCTCAGATCTCTGAAAACACCAGAATAAGGGATCGATAATCAAGTAACTGTCTTACAGAGTTTGTGAGTGCCACTGGGCTACTGATAAAATGCCACACAGCTTCTAAACCCCAGAAGAGCAGAGCTCCGGATACTCTCTGCTCTAATTCAGCAGTGGCCCAGTGCCACATCACCTTGTCTCCAGAGCACTGAAGCCTGTGTGATGCAGGGGCTCAGCCTCCAAGAGAATGGCCCTCAGTGCTGCGCTTCCCTTCCAAGGTTAACCCAGATGAATACGCTGCCATTATGGTCATAACAGCAGCCTAATGAAACATAATTGACTTGGTCTAATGTTCCCTCTCATGTTGAAATGTGTGACTTCTTCCTCATAGGAGGGTATGGTTTGAAAAAAAAGTCCATCTCTGTTTTGACTACAAAATTTGAAAGCTTTAGGGATTGTTTGGTTTTGGTTTGTTTTTTTCTTTTGTTGTTGTTATTTTTGGTTTTTTGGTGTTTGGGTTTTTTGTGCTTGTGTATTCCTGAGAAATCTGTCAAACTCACTGCAAAATCTGGTTGTTAAAATCAGATATCTTTCATGGTGTGTCAAACAGCAATTAGTTCTCCTCATTTTCTTTTCTCCCCTCCTTTCTCTCCTTTAAGATACGCCCGCAGAGGACGACCCGTCCCCCTGTGCCCCCCAGTCCGCGCACGGGCGGCAGTGTCAGAACGGCACGGAGTGCAAAGCAGGCTGGGAGGGACCGAAACATGGCATCACGAACTTTGACAACTTTGCTTTTGCCATGCTGACAGTGTTTCAGTGCATCACCATGGAGGGCTGGACAGATGTGCTCTACTGGGTACGTATCCGAAAATGATAAGCTGCAAGTCCTGCTCGTGTGCTTACGGCTATGTGGAAACTTGGGGGCTTTGACTTTCTTGCTTGCTCTGTACAGTGAAGGCATGGTTGCTAGCATGGAGCTTTAATTAACTCAACATATTATTAGGTAAAATGGGAGGGCTTATCTGGTACAATTAAATCGAATTTAAATGCTGACTTTCCATTGATATTCTAATTTTGAAAGAGGCAAATGGCTTATTGATTTGAAGACCAGCAGTGTACCCTTGTTGAGCAGAAAGTCACGTAAAGACCCTCTCTGCAGGAGTGAAATATCTCATACATCTCCAGATTACTGATGTAGAAGTATTTATGACAGATAACCATGTGCTCTACCTGTGGCATTTATGTTACAAGGCACTACACTGATCAGCTTGTAGGTTTTATAAGAAAGGCCTCACAAATTCCAGCACTAGTTATGATTATGATTTTTATCATAGAAGAATTTATTCTAATGCTAGTAACTCTGATACTGGTATCAATCATGGTTACATGTTTAGCCAAAACATGATGTTATCTTTAATCTAAATGAAGTCTCATCTTGTCCTGTACCTTAATTCTGGGCATCTCAGTAGCTTTAGTTTGTACCTTTTAATTCCTAATATATTGGGAAATTAATTACAGTACAATTATACTATAGGAGTTAAAATCATATTTAGCCTTAACTAGTAAACCATATATAAACATGTATTTGCAATCAGATCTTGCCATCAGCTTTTGCAGCAACTTATGGTCCAGGAATGTAATTCTCACACAGCACAGGCCCATCTGTAAAAGGTTAATCCAGGCTTTCACTAACTTGGAAGACTGGGACATCATGAGATGTGGTTTTCCAGGATGTGCTACAATGCATGATGCAACTTAACTCAAGAAGACCCAAAGCACAAAAAAGGATATTCTGGACTGGGGCAGCTTACACTGTTAATCAACATCAGCTTCGCTCTTAAACATGAGCCTGAAACTGTCTCCTACCCAGCAGCGATTTAGAGTTTACAAGATTTCCCTTTGAAGATTTAGCTTATCTGCAGTAGATGGTCTCTGTGTGGAACAGCTAGAAGTTGTCTCTTTACCCTCATAAATTTAGATTAGAACTGTGACCCTAGCTTCCTTCTAATGCCTGAGATAAAGGGCACTCCCACAAGGGGAGTCTGGAGCACAAATATTGCCTTTACTTGAAAAAAGGATATAGATTAATAAAATGATGGAGAAGAACAGAAGTCAGAAAAGGAACAGAGTGAAACTGCTGCACAGCTCAGCTATGGCTACAAATAATATACCTGTCTTTTTATCACACCTAGCTCACATTTCTCCAGCCCTTGTGTGATTGAGAGGATCTATAGGTAGTATAAGGAAAACTGGAGAGAGTCAAAGATATCAGAAATAAACATAAAAGTAGTTTTGGCTGTGTATACCATTTAGAATTGTGAAACCTGTCCACAAGCTGTCATCAGTTTCCCCAAAGACACGTACTGTGAAAGACCCTTCCAATTCCCACCCTTTGGGGCCCATTTGTCATTTTCATGGCTGGATATGAATCATGCAGAACTCAGTTATCAGTTATCTAATAACAGGAACCAAAAGCATTCACTTCACTGCCAAATGATTTTCTACTATGACTGTGCTGACACTCTGATTTTTAGGATGTCCCTGCAGCAACCTGGGTTTTAGATGTTGCCTTTTGTTTGGTATTCAGACAGCTTTTTTAACTGATTTCCTGAGCTGTTCTTTTTTTATTTAGAGACAGTATGGTGAAATTAGACCTGAACTTAATACAGATTGATGTTCATTATTTTTAGGGGCATCCATATAGTTAACCTCTTAGATTATGGCTTTGGTAGAATGCTTGCTTTGGAAACAAAAGAAATATTTGTTATCATCAGTTACCAACTATTCCTGGAGAGGACTACAAAAAATAAGAGTTAGCTCTGCAGAAAGAAATTTCAGTAATTGAAGAGGAGGAAATTTAGGTTATAAAGAAAAAAAAGACATTACCTACCTTTAAAGATTTGAAATACAAAGTTTGAGTAGACACCTGAGCTGGCAGACATACTCAGTTACAGTGCTGTAAGCAATCCTAAGAGCACTATTGTCCCACAGGACTTTTGCCTCTTTGTGCTGTGTTGAAGAAGCAGATAGAAGTCAACTCTGATCAGTGTTTGCCATCTGGTAAAGGAGGTATCTGAGATGGGATGTGTATTTCCTTCTGCAGAGGGGTCTGTGCTGCTCTGGAGGCAGGTGTTTGGGCACTTACTACAGGGCACACCTATGAGAAGGTCTGTCCCTTTAATATTTATGTGTAGAAACAGCCTCTACACATCCACACTGTGATTTCACGTAATTTCAAACCACATCTATTGTGATTTGAAGCCTCTGTAGTCCATGACTTCTGGATAGCAAAGAATAGAGAAGATGAGACATTTCACTTCCTGAAAGTGTCAGAAGAGTTTTAGTGAGGTAGGATACAAATATCTGTCTTAAACTTGGTGTGATCCACTGTTTCCTCAGTGCAGTCAGACTCATACATAACTGTCCTCCCTGGCCTTTGCCTTTTTGGCCAAGGAAGAGTGAACTTGTCACAGACAACCCATTGGGGGCTGCATCTCCACAGGAATGCAGAGATAGGAGGCTTTTCTCAAGTAGTTAACTCTGAAAGATCTGGATCCACAGTGAGGTCGTGGAAGTTAAAATTTGCTTTATAATACAATAAATCTGCACATTTAATTAAGAAATCCAGACTTAAAGGTCCTCTCTCTGCAACTACATCCTGACGTATGTTGTCCATTTCACACTGAAAGTACAGATTAAAGAACAGTATAAGAAAATGTTTGCAAATCAGTTTTGCAGACAAAAATTTTAGGTGATGATTTTAAGAGGTCATTCATTAAACTTAATGATGTAAACTAATGGATTAATATTTAAAAGTGCTGAGCATTCAAAGTTCAAGCAGACTTTCAAGTTCTTAGCTCCTCTGCAATTCAGAGTAGATAACTAGGTTTGAATCTGGGGTCCTGCTGGGTTCAATGGCAAAATTCTCATGAATTTCAAAAGGTCAGGATCTCACTTTTTATTTTGCAAAATCTTGATCATGCTGTGGAGTTTTTCCACATACAATTATAATACAACATGAGGACTCACAGATGCCTACTCAGGGCCTTGGTATCTGTTGAGATACTCTTCCAAAGGCATATGTGTGGATCTAGGGAGTTTTCTTTGCTCCCTTCTTAAATCTGAAAATATGTGCCTGACCTAAAATTCAGCAGAACAACAGATAAAGCTCTGGGCTGAATCACTTGGCTGGAAGTGTTTCATCAATGGAGCAATACTCTTGCTTTGAACTTTTCTAGAAGTGCTTTTTAATTACAACTTCTTCTTTCCTGAAAAGTAATTTTTGAAGGATACCTAGATCTCTGCACTCCTCTCAGTGGGAATGGAGGGAGCTTAGAACATTTTAGCACGTTGCCCTGAAAAATACAGTGGTCATTTCATGAAACCTATGCTGTCATGTGCCACACTTTGCAAGGTTAAACCTGCATGTTTGAAAGTTAGAAAGCTGTATGAGCACCCACAAGCCCTGGACTCCTAATCCACTTAACAACTCTTCAAATTTTTATCTTCAGTTTCCTGCTCCATTTTTCATGCTTCCCTGTATAGGCTTTTCACCTGTACAGTGCAGCCTGTCTCCTCTTCCATGGAGTAGTACTATTTCTCAGCTTGTCATCCACATTTTCACAAAAAGACAATCAGAGACAGGAAAGCAATAAGCTTTTATTCCCTAGAAGGACTTGACATCACTAAGATCAATACACTTCCCAATCTCCTCTCTCACTTAGCAGATAAGACTTGTGAGCAGATTGTTTTCTTTTGAAAAAAGAAAGAAAAACACTAGGGAAAACAGTTTGACACTGCTATCATGGAAGGTAGGATAATTACTTAAAAGGAGCCAAATTTCTAATGTGAAATAACTATACTGGACAGGATGAAAATCCATGCTAAACAACTTTGTTGACTCTTCACTGAAGAACTGATCTTTGTTGAAGGGAGTGTTAATAGTTCGTAGAAACACATCTCCTATACTGCCTCAGTCTTACCAGGTTTACTTATGTCCCAGTATAAATGCCAGGCTTTGTCTCATGAGCAGGCAGTTCATAGAACCATTGGAGTAGACAGGCACCTCTTTTGATATACCATGTTATAATTTTTCACATGCATTGTCGAAGGATTGAGATTATTACTCTCAAAACTCTCCTTAATGGATGATCAGCCAGCATTAGCAGCTTGCTTTGTGCAGGCACCATGGCCCATTTCTGAAGACCCCTCACTTCCTGCAGCAGATGCAAATCCAAATGTTACAAATTAAGTAATTTAGTATTTTGTGATCAGTCTCTGCTGCAGTCCCTTATTTTGCATTGTCTTGTTGACTAAGGAGGAAAATTATTCCCTGTGCAGTTTATAACATCCTGTTTAAGTATTTTTAGGTATTTGTTGTCTTCCCTTAATCTTTTCTAATCTGAGCAGATTCAGTTCTTTCAACCTTCCCTAATGGGACTTCTTTTTAATTATTTTTAATCAGTTTGTTACTGTCCTTCAGGGGAAGCTTCGCTTCTGAATTAACCACAATTCGGACAGTGCCCTGTCTCTAGAAAGTTTCCATCTTTGTGTGAAATGTGCTCTCTGCAGCTGGAGCCCTGTGACACTGCATGCAAACCTGCCCACTGCAACCTGAGTTTTACGTGCCTGGTCTCTCCACTCCCCTGCATCTAGGCAGCCGTATCTATAAATGAAAACAGAGCACAGAGAAATTGCAAAACGCAACTGTATGTTGTTGCACCGGGCAGTTCCTGCTGCTGGGAAGTGGAGAACCTGGTCCCGAGTTTTTCTGCTTACCCATTACAGCATGATTTCTAGGATCAAGTAATTTGACTTGATCTGCTTGAAGATTTTTAATAATGAGCAGCCTTGAGC